AGACTGATAAGGTGTACTGACTTCTTTCGATAACATTTACAAGATTCCTTATGATTCTTGGAGTTAACATCAAGTGCTTGAAATAGTGACTGCAAAAATGTGAAGTTTCTCGATGCAAGTAATGTGCACATATTGATCCTTCAACTCTAGCTTTATTTTTCACTAATCGCTTTGAATCACACATGAACCTTTCAAATGGATACATCCACCTATATTGAACAGGTCCTCCTAGATAAGCCTCATATGCAAGATGCACAGGTAGATGTTCCATGGAGTAAAAAAAACAGGCGGAAATACTTGTTCCAACTTACAGAGAATGACTGGAATATTTTGGTCCAACTTAATGATGTCATCCACTCTTAAAGCTGACGCACAAATATCTCTAAAAAATTGACTAATTTCGGTGAGTGGATTAAGCACATGTTTGGGTAGAGAACCGAACGCAATTGGTAGCAATTGTTCCATAAAAACATGGCAATCATGACTTTTCATACCATGCAACTTCCCAGTGTTAGCATCAGCACACCTTGCTAAATTTGAAGAATACCCGGCGGGCATTCTCAAACCTTTTAGCCATTCACAAACCGCTTTAGCTTCTTGGGGGGTCAGACTGAAACAAGCTTTGGGTTGAAATAATTTTCCATTTGGTTGAGGCTTCAATTCCAACTCTTTACGATTAGACCAAATTTCCATGTCTTGTCTAGCCTTCACATTATCTTTTGTTCTGTCTTTAACATCCATCACTGTGTTAAATACGTTATCAAAAAAATTCTTCTCAATATGCATAACATCAAGATTATGGCGCAACAAATTATCTTTCTAATACGGGAGGTCCCAAAGTATACTTCTTTTTGTCCAATTATGTGTGACCCCATATCCTTCAATTCTACATGTTTTGCCAGTATCTGTAAACTTTGGAAGTTCACAAACTTGGTTCCATATAGCAACTGGTGACAATCGAGGCGGAGGCAGATCTGTTACCCGTTCTTCCTTTTTGAAATTTCTCTTATTTTTTCTAAAGGGATGATTTGATGGTAGGAATCTGCGGTGACAATCAAACCACGAGCTTTTCCCCCCTTTATCTAATGTAAACGCCTTAGTGCATTCCATGCAATGCGGACAACCCATTCTGCCATGCGTACCCCAACCAGACAACATGCCATATGCTGGAAAGTCGTTAATGGTGCACATCAAGGCAGCTCGTATATAAAAGTTTTGTTTACGGGATATATAATAAGTCCATTCTCCATTATTCCACAACCTCTTCAAATCATCAATTAAAGGTTGTAAGTACACATCAATTCCGGTTTTAGACTCGACTGTCCTGGAATGACGCACGTCAAAAACATGTATGGTTTTGTCATGCACATCTCAGGAGGGAAATTGTAAGGGGTTACAATAACTGGCCAACAAGAATACGCACTTCCAGACGCTTGGACATATGGAGCAAAACCATCAGAGCATAATCCAAGCCTGGCATTTCTAGGTTCCGCGGCAAAATTAGGATGTACCTTATCAAAGTGCTTCCATGCATGGTCGTCAGATGCGTGTCGCATATTGCCTAGGCTTGTTTTGTTTGTATGATGCCATGTCATTTGACTTGAATTGTGCATTGAAGAAAATATTCTTTTTAACCTTGGTATTAGCGGAAGATAAAACATAGACTTTACTGCTACACGTTTTTGCTTACTGTTAATGGCTCTATTGCGAACTTTATATCTTGGACTCTGACAAAACTTACATTCCTCTGACAATCCATCTTGAGTACCAAACTCGTTGTCATAAAATAACATGCAACCATTAATGCAACAATCAATATTTCTTACTCTTAAACCCAACTTCGACACCAACTTCTTTGCATCATAGAAACTCGCAGGCAAGTTGTCTTTCGTTGCAGTTGAGTCCAACATCATTTTTGCGAAGTGCTCCAAACGCTGATCAGGAACATTCCAATTTGACTTGGCGGCTAATAATCTCACACACATTGATAGCTTTGAGTCTGACGACCCCTCAAACAATAACATATTCATCTCATTCAACAACTGATAAAATCTTTGCGCTTCCTCATTCGACAACTTTTCCCCGTCAAAATCTTCTGGTTGATCATAGGTCACGTTAACACCAAAAGCATCATCAACCATGTCACCTATCAGATTAAAGTTTTCCTCAAACTCCATAGGCGGTTGCATAACCGGTTGACTACTTGAAGCATTTGTGTTGCTAGTCTCTGGTACATTACTCGGCAATGTTTCACCATTATACGTCCAAACCCAATAATTTTCAATGAAACTTTTTCTATGCAAATGACGTGTTATTTTCTATGAGTCACTAATTATATATCTACATCCACATTTAAGACAAGAACACCTAACTCCTCCTTCACTTCGACAACGTTCTTGAGCAAACGTCCACGTGATAAAACCATTAACTTCGTCTATAAAATTGGGTTTAAGTGCGCGTCTTCCTGAATATAGTCTACCGTACATCCAACTACGATAATACCTATAATATTCCATTTACTGCAAATTTGTATAAACAAAACCTTTTTAATTAGAAATAGTAATTAATCAACTTAATAATAATCTTAAATATATACTATTAAACATAAACATATGCTTTTACTTTAACTATTTTTAATATATAATGTTTTTTATTATATACTTTATTAAATATATAATAATTAATATAATATTTTTTATTGACATATAATATAATTTTTATAAAACAATTTTTAATTATAAAACCGTTTTTATTAACATACATATAATATATAATAATTAAATACATAAACCAATTTTTTATATATAATATTTTATAACATACTATATATAATGTTTTATTGACATATAATATTTTTTAACATACTATATTAATGTTTTATTGACATATAATATAATTTTTATATAATATTTTGTAATTATAAAACCGTTTTTTATTAACATATAATACAGTTTTTATATAACTTTTTTAATTATAAAACAGTTTTTATTAACATTCTATATTCTATATATATATATGATATATAAATATTTTTTATTAACATATAATACAGTTTTTTTATATATGTTTTTATATATATACGATACAAAAAACTACTTTTTTTATATATGTTTTTAATCAATACATAAAATATTATATTATATTTGTTTTAAATAAAATATATATTAACATTAAAACTATTTTTATAAAATTTATATATTATTCTGTTTTTATAAATTAAATAAATTAAGATATATATTTAATGAAAATTACAATATTATAATTTAACCAAATTCAACCTAAAATCTAACTAAATTCAGAAAATATATTAAATGCAAAAAAAATTTTCAAGAAATACCTCTTATCTTCTAACTCCTTCAATCTTGTTGTCCAACCTTTTTGCAATCTACTACTACTATATCAATCTTCTTCTATCCAAAGAAACATTAAAATAAATTACAATCCTATAATACAATAAATAAAAACTTGTAAACAAAATAAAGACAAAATTAAATTTCATTTACCTGAAAAAACAAGGATTAATGGAGATTGAAGTTGGATTTTATATTGGAGAAGAAGAGATTTTATGAAGAAGAAGAGGGTTAATGGAGGGATGGAATGAGAAGAGGGTTAATGAAGAAGAAAGTTTTGAATGTTTGATAATAATATTGTCTGCTTTGTGGAACGTGATGTAATTAAATATATAAAACATTTACCGACGTGAAAATCACGCCGCAACATTGCCACATGACTTTCACGTCGCAACCATCCAAACTGTCATATTCTCTTTCTTCACATGCCTGCAAAAGCTGATCACGCTAGTGTGTATTGATTTGATTTTTCCCTCTTAAATGTTGCGACGTGAATAACACGTCGCAACTTACTTTTTCAAAATTTCAAAAACCCATCCATCTGAACGTTAGACCAATTAAAATATTTTTTATTATATTTTTACTAGCGACGTGAATCCCACGTCGCAACATATATATATTTTTTAAAAGTCAGACAACCATCCGACTTCTTTATTTTATTAATAAAACATGTTGCCACGTGATTATCACGTCGCAACTGGCTTTTTTTAGTCACATGATAATCACGTGGCAAAAACACGTGGCTGGAGATAATATTTCTTGTAGTGATAGTTAATACTCGCTATGCTAATTTCGTTAATTTTGCTATGATCATCTGTTAATGACAGCCTAGTTTCCTCTCTTTGGATACTTATAAGTTGAGACCATATCATATCCAGGATATATTCATGCCTTAAGCCGTTAACATCTGCTACCCCGACCATATTCCTTCATAGGCAGGGTCTCAACCCATGCTTCTTGGACAGTGTCTCAACATGATGTCCTAGACAAAGTCTAGGCCTGAGCTTTTAGTAAGAGTTTTGTTAGGAGGGATTTTACAAATTTCAAGATGTATACTGACTCACAAGCGTGAGACCTTTAAGAATGAGACACTTAAAATACCATACATCTTAACTATAAAAAAATTGATAAAATGTTAGTATAACTCGTAAATAAGTTGTGATTTATTATATGACCAATGCAAAGTAAACACGTGCCAATAGCTATTTCCAAAAATCACATCCTCGAAATGATGACCATTGAACACTTTACCAATTCCGCCATTTCTATTTGTATTCATCATAACGTAACCCAATCAAAGTCGGCACATGCAAGTAGATCTATCAAGAAACGCATCCGCCGAAATGATGAGATATTGCCCACGTGGCATACTCTAATTGGACAACCATAATCGAATAAAGGTGTTATAATTAAAGTTGATGAAGCAAACGATTGAACGAAGAAAATTCCATTACAAAGTGAGAGTATATAAATCAAGAAAACTCAACAAGAGTGAGGCAACTCACAAAACTAAGGTGAGATCAATGTCAAGAAACCCTTTCTTTCTACACCCCCTTAATTTTCTTCTAAGGGTTGGTAGCAATGTCACTCAAATCAGAAAGATATAAGAAAATTTAAGTTTTATATTTTTTTTTCTTTGTTTGGTAAAGTATGTTAACAGCTATAGATATATACAATGAAGAACTCATGAAAGCACTAGAGCCTTTTATGAAAACTGGTTCTTCTTCATCAATCTCTGAACAACAATCACATGATTTGAATCCCAATTACGTAACCCAAAGAAGCTCTATTGGTCTCAACCAACTCACCCCATCACAAATCCTTCAAATCCAAAACCAGTTCCAAATCTCCCAACAACAACAAAAAAGCACTCTCACACAAAAGCCCGTTCCCATGAAGCACTTTGGAGCTTCCTCAAAACCCACGAAACTCTATCGTGGAGTTAGACAGCGTCATTGGGGAAAATGGGTTGCTGAAATAAGACTTCCAAAGAACCGCACTCGTCTCTGGTTAGGCACGTTCGATACCGCAGAGGAAGCAGCTTTTGCTTATGACATCGCAGCTTATAAGCTTAGAGGCGAATTCGCACGCCTGAACTTTCCTCATATGCGCTTCCATGGAAACTACAATCCTCTCGCTTCTTCTGTCGATTCCAAACTCCAAGCTATTTGTGAATCCTTAGCTGTTTCTCATGGGGACACTGAAAAACCATGCATCTCTGTTGAAGATGTAAAGCCTGTTGTTTTTGTACCTACACAATCCAAGACTGAGTTGGTTTTTCACGAGTTTGAGGATTTTAAGGTTGAGAATGAGAAGACAGTGTTGTTGTCTATGTCTGATGAATGTTCACCTGGTTTGTCTTCTCCAGAATCCGGTGTAACTTTCTTGGATTTTTCAGATTCTTGTCGGTGGGATGAAGTGGAGAATTCGGGGTTGAAGAAGTACCCTTCTGTTGAAATTGATTGGGAAGCATTATGAGTCTGAGAAGTGATTTAGCAAAAATATGTTTTTGGGTTTACTATGTTTCTGTATTTTGTAATTTAAGGATATGTTCCAGTGTCTTCGACAGCGTCTGCAATGAAGTTTTTGACATTTGCAGGTGTTTTTGTTGAGATAGCTTGGAAATTTTAGGGTTCTAAATTAGAGTCATCTTAATGGTTTACTATTATGGTCTAATGATGGTCTTCTTGGTCTGCTGGAGTTTTTTTGTTCCTTGCATGATCATAGGAGCTTCCACTTGTGTCTTGCTTACTTTCTTGTTCTCCTAGTTTTTAAGCGTTTTCTAAACTATTTTCTGTCTAAAAATAAATATTAGATTTGAATATACTTATTTAAATTCTATTAATTTGTCTGTTTCGACTTCATCTATGGAAACTCATTTTAGTCTTTTAAATTAATTGATTTTTAAAAAAATTCACAAACTAAAAACAATTGATCTTCCTCATAGTTGCATCGAGTTATGGGTGATTTTTTGTAATTGATTTATCGCATATCTCATTGTACAGAAAAGACAACCGTTTATTATAGTCGCTCTTACCAGCATCATGCAAGGAGATAAGGAGAGCCCGTAACCGTACATCAACCAATTCACTCAAATCGTAATAGAAGTAGAAAGAACTGAAGAGCCCCTCTAATGTTGGATCTTTGAAAATGATCTCCTTCACGATCATCCTTTCCGCACCAAGTTGGGGAAGGAAAATGTGAGAACAACTCAAGAGATGTTAAACATAGCTCAATCATACATCACATCAGAGGAGAAGTTGAACACTCGCTTCAATAATCCAACCTCAATTATCGATGTAACTTCAAATGGCCGCCGGGAAAGGATTCTCGTAGGCGAGGAGAAGATGTCGATACAGGAAAATATGACATGTACGATAGGTATACGCCCATGAACACTTCTCGAGGGAAATTGTATCGAGAATGCGCTAATACCTAGTTCAGAAAAGGAGTAATTCGACACCCCAATAATGTATGTGAATCCTCCCAGACAGATAAATCAAAGTGCTGCTGCTTTCACAGGGGACATGGTCACAACACCGACGATTGGATTCAGCTTAAAGATGCAATTGAATCTTTGATCAAGAAAGGTCGGCTATACAAATATGTCAAAGGCAGTAAACGAGACCAAAAAGAGTCTCCAAAGACTAAACCCACCATAAAGGTTCTTGAATCTGGTCCCAACGGTGAAAAGGGAGAAACTAGTAAGGGAAAACACCCATATATTGCCACCATCACCTGCAGAGCACCTCAGGAAAATCTCCCTTCCAAAGGGAAATTCAAGATAAAGATCGCCGAGATGACAAATGTTTACATGGGCGGAGGAAACTCGTCATCTTAAATCCACAATCGACCCATGTTAAGGTTTCGACACTCTGAAGAAGTTGAAGGCATTTCTAATGAATTGTTCCCTTTGGTAATTACAGCTATTATGGGACAATTCGACGTCTCACAAATTCTGATAGATGGAGGAAACTCATGTGATATCCTCTAACTCGTCATTATTCGAGAAGATGGATTTAGACCGAGAAAACTCATGTGATATCATCTACTCATCATTATTCGAGATGATGGATTTATAGACCGATGAAGCCTAATACCATACGGTGGCTCAAATTTACAAGTGTTTAATGGGACGACTATTCACCCTAGGGCTATATAAAACCAATGGTATCCGTGGGACAAGAGAGAGACATTTGATTTATCAATATCTAGTTCCTAATCATGCATCCCATGCAGAAACCTTTATAATTGTGTCTTGGATAAACCCTTCACTACAGCGTTGGACGTCGTGGCCTTACCTTTGCACCTAAAACTCAAGTACCACAACCTTCATGGAGAGTCACTGCACTGGATTTTTCTTGATATCTAAGCAAGTTCCTTTTCTTTTTAATTTTCTTGTTTAGAATAAGATGTAGGGGTTGTTTTGAATGATGAGTAACATAAAAATAAAATGCAGAAAGTAAAGAACACAACGATATATCCTTGTTCCTCTTACCAAATAAAATTACTCCAATCCTCTCACACCCCGTGAAAGATTTTCATTATTGTTAGATCTTTGTACAAACCTACTACTAAGACTTTTCTTACTATCTTCTAACAACAACATAGAAGCACACCACTTCCTTGATTTCCACACACCAACAACTATGGCGGACTTTGAATCAAACCAATTCAAATGAAATTTTTACAACAATCACCAACAACTTGATTATCACACCAAACAACAATGGTGAATTCTATACAAACAAAGTATAGAATTTGAGTAAATTGAAGACTTGACTTGAATTCCAAGAATGAAAAATTGATCTTCTCTTTCTCATGATCATAATCCAAATATATATATGAAAAATTGACTCTCCATGAAGGTTGTGGTACTTAAGTTCTTAGAACAATATGAATGAAACTCTTTTCAAATATATGAAAGTTATGCACACAATTTCATTTTAATGGAAAATATGACCACTTGAAAACTGATTTGAATTGTATGTAAAAATGATTTATCGAAGAGGTAATTTCAAATTCTGATTTTTGAACCTTTATATACATCATAAAATACCTCTATGAATTGATGCATATGTTTAGAAACATTACCATGAAGATTTGCAACTTTTTAAACTCATGCTAGTTTAGATAAAAACATCATGCTTCATGTGTAACCGGTTACCAAAAACATGTAATCTGTTACACTTCAACAACGATTAAAATTTTTCAAAATATTTAAACCTGTAACCGGTTAACAAATTCCTGTAACTGATTACAAGTGTTACAAAAATGCCAATATACTTGTTTTTATGATGCATAACTAAAGTTAAAACATTTTAATGATGCATAAAAGGTTAGAGATGAATATGCGTTATATATTTGTAGCCATTTAAGCATTAGATAATGGATTGCAAATGATATCTTTGATTAATTCCATTATACTTTAAACTTTCAATGTGTATGATTATTTGACCTTGATTGAGCTAACCTTCAACCTTTTTTCTTCTTTGATAAGCTTTTATTTTCATCAAAATTAAATTAAGATAGATGATGCAAATCTTCTTCACAAGGTGTCCTATCAATAGTCACTTCTCGCTTACATATCACTTAAGTATTTTGAGTCCCTAGAAAGATCATAATCACTCATTTAAAAAGACATATGGAGTTATAAAATAGTGGAAACGAAGAAAAGTATGGCTGATAACCGATGACTTGAATCCTTTAAATCCTAGCACTTATGCCCAAGCACGAGGGCTTGAGGACAACTGTTCTGGGTCGACCGTATCTACCTTGATCTGACCATGTCTCCATGGGTCCGACTTTCTTAAGATAGACCACCCAGGGTTCCCATCCACAAATTACGCACCTGATTGACTTCGATAATATTCCCCTTACCACTGGAATATCGTGTACCCAACTGCAGGGGATCCATTCCCCATGCATATCCAACGGCCTCCATATTTTGCGCCGGAAAGATAGCGAGACAATTATCTCTCTTCCATATATATATATATATATATATATATATATATATATATATATATATATATATATATATATATATATATATATATATATATATATATATATATATATATATATATATATATATATATATATATATATATACGAAATGATGTCATTTTAGGTAATAAGTTTCAAACACAATTTGAATACTCTCTCATCATTCACAATACTATTTGAGTGTTGGAGTTCTAACCTTGCAGGTACACCCCTGCTTCGTTACACCAGAAGCTTTAATTTGTCGCAGCTTGCACGACTCTTCATATTTCTGATTCTGGAACTGAACACTATAATATGAAACCTATATTGGATATTATCTTCATAGGCATTAGTGATTCATGGGTTAAGGCATTAACTTTATCCATATACATGTAGTTTATTTTATGTTAGTTGTTAAGTTAATGTTATTAATATTAGCTAGTAAAAGATTAATGTTAAAAGATTTACGTTAAAAGATTTATGTTGTTTTGGTGGAGATTGAATCTTTAATCTTGTTGTGATTGGGTTATCCTAATTTAAATTTTGTTTAAATTATGTGTTTAACAACTCAAGACCATTCCCACAAGAAGGTATAAATGACATTCGTTTATATTGAGTCGACTACTTTCTATATTTTTTTGAACCTCAACAACACTAGTTTCTCTTTGTTGCTTTAAACAATATGTATAGATTTTCTGTTACACATGTATTTGCTTTTGTCATTATGGTTCTGTTTTTAAATATGTATATAGGTTCTCTTGGTGCATTTTGAATATGCGCATATTAGGTTCTGTTACAAATTTTGTAAACAATGTAATTTGGTATTATATGTATATTAGGTTTTGTTCTGTCATAAAACAAAATGTTTTGATTCTGTCAAAAAATGTGTATAAAAGTTCTGTCTAAAAAGAATACAAGTCAAATTAAATTTTTTTTAAAAAAATTGATAAAAAATATATGTTTTTTCCCTCAATTATCAATTCAAATAGAGGTAAATACTTACTTTCCATCTCATATCAGATATTAATAGAAATTGATAGGTATGGTGACGCAAACTTTTTAGTTTTAAAAGTACAAAAATTCTTGAGGATTGAGCTCATGACCAATACAATTTTCTCCTAGATGGAACTATTTTTTAATGGGAAAATGATTCATTCAACTGAAAAGAGGAAAAACAACCTACTCACCATACCAGGTTCTAGACCCAAGCATATTTGTAGTCCCAACTAAACTGTGGGCATTAGTGTTCAAATTACGCCTAATAAATTTAATAGAAACAACACTTAAAACAAACAAGAGGCTGATACAGTCCTCAACTACAAACCCAATCTCACAAAAAACACTGTGGCCATAGATACAATTTGAAACATAAAGAGCGTCAATTTGGATGATGACATTTTCCCACCTGAAATAATCCACCAGTTCGAGACACCATCTAACTCCCAAGGCCCCGCCACAATCGGCGAAACCACAACCTATTAACGCTTACA